CGCCACTAGGAAAAATTTTTCATAAAAAACGCGTATGTTGGCAGTTGTGCATTCAATACTTAAAAAATAATAAATAATTAAATATTAAAATTTTTCTAAACATTGCTTTTACACATTTCTAAAGATAAAATTTTTGTAAGATGAGAATACATTGAAAATAATAAATACAAGAAGCTTAATGAAATTAATCGTATTGTATATGGTTTGGTGTGTAAGATCCGATTGTAACGTTAGAATTAATGATGTTAATGCATTCATTTAAAAATTTTAACTACATCTACAATGATGCCTATTTGTGAAACTAAAACACTATACTCTGTTGCAAGTTAAGAAAAAAACCATTATCCTTATTAAGAGAGAGCCTATTTGCATCTAAGTGTACGCCAAATAGATGCCAAACTCCCAGCGCGAATTTATATGAACTTCGCCAACTCTTGAAACAATGTTGCACAGCCTTCTTTTTGTTTGTTTTCTTAAATCGTGTGAAGGACGAAAAATAAAACTTATTGAATAAAAAACTATAAAATGATTATAAAATAAAAATGGTTTCTAAAAATCTTAACAAATATACGACTTTCTGTTCGCATTTAAAGAAACCGATGAAAGAATAATTAGTACTGTTTCTTGCAGACGATTTTCTTCTACAGGGAAACAAAAGTAAAAAAAAAAAAAAATTAAATAAATTCGTTATCTCGCATTTGATTTGCTAAGGGCATGTCTGTATAAGACGCGCCCTTTTTGGTGGTCCAATCAAATCCAATGTTCTTGCAACGTCATATTGTTTGCTTCTTTTTAAGAACACATGTTCTACTGACAACTAGCGACTGTTCTACTAGCGACATATTTATCAAAATATGTCGCTAGGAAACCAGTAAGACTACGAAACAATAACCATTTTTAAATAGTTCTATATATATTGTAAAAGACAGCACGAATTAAATTTCTGTCAGACGAGTTTATTTTTTAAAAGCTTTTATATTGTTTTGAAAGCATTTTTATGTAATTTGATATCCAAATGAAACGGAACTATATTCAGTCGCGGATGATTACTTAAATCTTAAACAGCAATGATGTTATTTTCTTAACTTGCTACGGAGTATAATGACTGTGAAACTCAAACACAAGTTTCCAAAATAAGTTTTCTTCAGTCTCCTTATCTTCCTACTTAACGGTATAAGAGTTCTTCCTTCACTAGACTATTAGTCTGTAGGAATTCTGAAGCAGTGAAAATAAATGGATGTAATCTCCAACCACTGTTCGCTTAATTAGTAGAGCGTTGCAATATGAGCGTGAGATAAAACTGTTCATGACATTGATATTGAAAATTTGTTATTCTTCTTTCGAGGGCAGCCTCTCTTCAAATGTCATAAATAATTTGTTTCATTTTCATTTATTCTTTTTTTTTTTTCTTTCCGGGTTTCTTTTTTTTGTTCTCAGGATGATTATTGGAGAATATAGTAATCTTCCTTGGCACCTTCCTCTGAAAGGTTTTCGTTGTGTGTTTTGAAAAGGATTTACAATGGGGTTAATTTAAATAAAAATACTTTTTTTTTGACAAGAAAATGATTTGAAATCGTTCAATGCGTAAGTTTTATTATTATCCTAATTTTCGCGTTTGCCGAAATGCTCGCTATGTGTCATGGCAATTTCGCATTGTTCGTCAAAAAAGGCGTATTTTTAAAAATCCATATTTCAAGAACATTTCAACCGATTTCGCTTAAATTTTGTATTATGCCATTTAAAATGACATTCTTTAAATTGAGACAAAATTTTTTATACCTTACAATTTGAAACTCTTATAAAATAAATAAAGTTATTAACACTAGGTTTATGGGCGTTTCTTATATACCTATCTCTACGAACACACTTCAATTTGACTCATGAACCAATACATCAATAGGTTTACGTACTTTTCTTATATACCTATCTCTACGAACACGCGCCAATTTGACGTGTGAAAGAATACGTATAATTGTGATTCTTAATTTAATAAATTCAATTTAGTAGATTTTTACCCACCACTAATTCTAAATAATTCGTAGGCTTAGATAATTCACCACTTTATATTTTTACAAAATTTAATTAGTTGCTATTTACCATTTTTTAAATTATTTTGGCATCTCTGCACTTAGAAACCAATGTATATGTATACCATACCTGCCAACTCTTCCGGATTTTCCGCAAGATTTTATTTTCATATTTAAAGTGGTAGTAAATATATACTATTTTTTCTATTATAAACTTAATTTTTAAATGATTTTGATCACCACTATTCTTACAAAAATTAAGCACATATATTAATTTGCGTTACTATCATGGATGTCATCTTAAGTTTTTTCAAATACAGTGTATTTGTTTGCTTAAAATTGAAGTTTTAATTCCATTTTATTACCACTGGGAAAAATGATAATGGAAGGGATTAAAAGTTGGCAGGTATGGTATACTATAAGAAAAAAATGAAGATATGAGATATATATTTATGAAATATTCTAGCATTTTATGTTTCAATACTCGAACTAAGCAACTGAAACCTTCAAAATCTGACATTAATTGACATTCTGCGTTTGTTCTTTCTATATTTGCTTATCGGCAACAGTTTTTTATCGCTTGTTTTATTTGAGATAACGATAGCGGATAACGAATCGAAATATTGTTGATACATTATTATTTATTATTGATGTGATAATTGCTTGTTTACTCAGAATTTTGTATAAGTTATGATCGCGTCAAATTGACGCATATCCGTAGAGATAGGTTTACCACATAAAAAATTTCAAAGCTTTTGAAGAAAATAACCTTCAATATATATTTACCTCGATCGATGATTAATATTCATTACAAAAGATAAAATAAAAATTCAAACGGATTTTATAATTTTCCTTACAAAGCTCGAAATGCGTCAAAATGACGCGTCCCGTAAACCTAGTGTTAAATAAAATAATAAAAAAATATTTACTAAAAGTTACATTTTGTATGAAATCATCTTCGGATGAACAGATTTTATAATTGCGTGTGATTTTTTTAAAATTCACTTAAAAAGTTCCCGAGATATGATAAAATACGCAGAAAATAAAATTAACATTAAAGGGTACGCTCTCATGGCCACATTAATATGACAATATTTCTCAGTTTGCGGCTACTCCCTATATTTTAAAAGTCGAAAAAATATATGTTATTCGTTTTTGCGTCTGATTTTGTATATTAAAATATCGATGCACTAATTAATTATCATAGTTAAGAAGACCTCTTCGAAACATTAAGATTGATTTCTAGAACGTGAAGATTCAATCATTAGATCAAAAGTTATTTAGGGTAGTCCATTATTTAGTTATTAATATATTTGTATTTAATTTATTAATATATTTGTATTTTTTTCTTTTTTACCCACTGTACTTGTACAATCGTGTACGCGTTACGGCAAAAGCCCAAAGTTTGGTAAATTACCTGATCTGGTTTTACCGGAAAAAACTCTTTACTAACTCATTGAAAAGAATCTTTCTTTTAGCAGAAAATGTATTGAAACATTTTACACGGCAAAACTTTCGGCACAGCTTGAAAGTTCCTGCTTAAAGCTTTTAGAAATGGTGTTAATTTTTTTTACCCATTTAAAATTTGAAAATAAAATTAACATTAAACATGTAAATTGTAAAATTTGCATCGACCAAAAGGAGAACAGAAAGTTAAAAGCTTCTTTTATAATAGCACTGTAATCCGAAAAAGCGCTTTAATATAACTATTGCAATTTTGTAGTATGATTTTGAAATTGTTGGCATTTAAGTTCAAAGGAAGTTATAAGCCCCCTTACCACATTTGGTTGACCCGAATTTTACATGGGTAAAAATGATACCATTTCTAAAAACTTCGAGCATGATCTTTCAAAGTGTGCTAACAGTTTTGCCATGTAAAATTTTCCAAAACATTTGCAGCTAAACGAAAGTTTGCTTGCATAAAGTTAGTACAGAAGAGTTCCATAATTTTTGTCTAAATTCTGAAGTATTTGTCAAAGTGGTTTAGTAAAAGGCAAAATTATGCTTTAATATAATTTCATTTCGGCCTTTACCAAACATTTGTGGTAAAACCTTGTGGTAAGTCCTTTTACCGGAAGTCGTTAGAAGTCAAAATTAGCCCAGACTTCATCTGAAAGTTCCTATTTTTACGAAATTATGAAACTTTTTTCATAGTTTTGTGAAGTTGTGAAAATAGTTTTGTGAATTTTTGAATAAGCGTTCTGTTTTGTAGATTCTGTTTTGGAATTCAATGTTGATTGTTTTTAATTTATTAAAAAATGTAGTTTAATTGTATTCTGAATCAATTTTGCATTTATAATTATCGTTTGTACCCGTGTTATTAATGCGCAGCATTATTGGTAATTATTATATATTCAATATCTTAGCAAGACGTGAAAATCACGATATATTGCGAGAATAGATTTCAAAAACCGTTATAGTGGCGTTTCAAAATTATCGGAGCTTCGCGGTTTCAAACACAGTTTTTTTCTTCTAGATATTTGCTTGGTATTACATTACTTGACAGAAAACCCCCAGAATGTTAATATCAAAATATTGTGACAATCTGTAATATTTCATGAGAACTTTTCAGAAACATGAAATACATTTTATGATAATTTGGAGAAAACTTTGGACGCTTTGCTTTAGTTCGATTGCTCTGAAAATCCCCCCCCCCTTAATTCTTAAACGTTAGAGCATTTGTGATTGTAATTTATAAAGAAATGATTGACGACTAATGTAATGTAGAACAATTATAAAGTTACTTAAAACTGACAAAAGATTTTTTCGAGTACAATAATTTCTTTTGTTTTAGTAGCACGATGAGTTATTTATCTTTACCAAGAGCATAAAGCAATTAAACCACTTTTTTTATAAATTAACGAAGTGATTTTTATCGTTTTTCTTCACGTATTTATTGTTGGTGGCTATCTCTTGAAAGCCGTTTGTCAGCAATAATTTTGCTAAGAAATTTATAAAATCAGTACAATATTTACCCACCTGATAATGTACTGTTTCTAGTATTTATTTTGAGTAGTTCGTAAATTGAATTGAGTTTGTTTTCGTGAGACTCGCAGAAAAATCTTTTCGGGGAGAAGATTCTAGAATTCATGTTGTTTAAAAGAATTTTGTAAACTCTTTGCTGCAAATCTGATAAAAGCAAGATTTTTTTTTAAAAAAAACTTTTTTGTCGCAGGTAATTAAATTTATGGTTATTTTACTGATTTTAAAAGAGTTTTAATTCAATTTATAATTGAAAGATTTATTGAAAAATATGAAATGATATGTTTTTGTAATTTTTGAAAAATATACATTTTGTTATAAACTTTTATAATTCTTGATTTTTAATGTTTTTATAATGCTTGAAAAATAATTCACACTGAGCGAAATTTCATAGTTTAATCCTTTATTGCGTAATATTTTATTTCTGGCAATTAGAAATAAGTGACTGTGTGAAGAAAAATAGTGAAACATTTATCTTTTAATTAAATAAATAATAAATATTGAAATCTCAAAATTAAACATTCTAATAAAACCAATACTAGGGATGTCAACTGCCCCGGATTCAATAAAATATTTCAAAAAATGGTAGAAAGCTAAAAACTGAAATTGCCATTTAAACGGTTAAACCTTGTTAAAAAAGAAAGTATCAAACGAATGTTACCATACTGTAGCTTTAGTACAAATTTAAATTATTTCATACATGCTTTTCAATTTTGAGGCATATTTATAACATAGTTATTGTATAAAATATCTCAATCCCTTAACTTGCCGGTAATATGTTAATTGGAATAAATAAAATTGTGTTCCTGACTTTTTTTTGTCAAAAGCAAATATTTCCACAGTACACAACAGCATATTCTATAAAGCAATAGGACACCTGATAAGTTGTTGAATAGTGGTATTTGTTTATGTTAGCAACTGTTCTTTTCATTCTATTTCATGTAAGTCCCGACAAGTATCATTTCTCTTAAATGACACATTCTATATTCTTACACAAAGATTCTTTCACAAGCATTTAAATTCTTTCGCTATATATATCTTACTTAACACAAAGACAAGCATGCATACATGTAAACAAACTAATTTGCATCGAAGTTGCCAGGTTATACAAAACAAAAATATATGACGGTTACAAGGTTAAGGTAAGTAAATGATGTGGACGATAAACATAATATATTTCAACAAATTCGATGTGCGATATGACGCTGTATTTAGTCAACTTCACATTAATTAAAACTTTAACTTATGTAGAGAAACTTAGCTTAACTTTAATACGCCATTTTGCTTATAAACGATCAGCTGGAGTTGACGTTATAGGTCACATGTGTAGGTATCTATGATCTTCTTCTTCTTGAAGTGCAAGAACCCAATTACAAATTTTTACAAATTTCTCTTACTTTTAAAAGTTATCAAATGCCTTTAATGGACATAGTTTCCTTAGACAAATTTGAAGCTATACCATATTCTATATATACCTATTTTTGGAAAATCTTTTCTTTATTATAATACATGAAAATATTCTTTCTTTCAACACATTTAGAGTTTCTTACAAATTTTTAAATGTGGTTGCGAAAAGGTAGCAAACATTATTTTAATGTTTCTGTAACTGCTACTAAGCATTTTTTAAGAGATGTATGCCTGTATGAAAATCCGAAACACTTAGATTTTTAAACATTAAAGTCGCTTTTACACATACCACGCTAATTTTACATGCCTTACCACAACGGTAAAAAATTACAAACTGAATTTGCAAATATTAGACAGATTTTGCTTGTTTTTTTAAAAGGTTTAGCATGACATATCATTTAAAAAGTGGTGAATTATATAAACCTACGAATTGTTTAGAAATAGTGGTGAATAAAAATCTACTAAATTGAATTTATTAAGCAAAGAATCACAACTAATAAACTACCACTAGAAAAAATTTAATCACTGTCCGGAGCAAGTTGTCATCCCTGTGTATATAAATAAAACTATTTTTGTGTGCTCTATATTGCATTCATTTCTTCAAACCATTTTAGTAACAATAATAATATAAATCGTCGGTCATCGGTGAACCCCATGACTAGAGCCCGGATTTTGATGACCTAAAAAATCTCAACTAATGCCCTTAAAAAGTGCAAAAAATGCCNCCGGTCACTGATCACCTGGCGGGCCGCAGTTTGAAAAAGTTGAACAATAACCTCTGACCTCTTATACAATAACAATTAATAGTTGAATTATTAATTATAAAACAATGGAACAGAAGGATTATAAAACAATTTGCTTACATTTTAATGGGAAAACTGAGGGCGATCAGCCTGAATAAGAAGTTGGCAGGCCGCACAATATGTGCTGGCGGGCCAGATGCGGCCCGCGGACCGCCAGTTGGACAATACTGCTATAAAGCAATAGGACACCTGCAAGTGACGCAATGTGGATGCCTCAATCCTGATAGGTTGTTGAATAGTGGTATTTGTTTATGTTAGCAACTGTTCTTTTCATTCTATTTCATGTAAGCCAAGCCCGTCAAGTATCAATTCTCTTAAATGACACATTCTATACTCTTACACAAAGATTTTTTCACAAGCATTTCAATTCTTTCGCTATATATATCTTACTTAACCCAAAGACAAGCATGCATCCATGTAAACAAACTAACTTGCATCGAAGTTGCCAGGTACACAAAACAAAAATATATGACGGTTACAAGGTTAAGGTAAGTAAATGATGTGGACGATAAACATAATATATTTCAACAAATTCGATGTGCGATATGGCGCTGCATTTAGTCAACTTCACATTTATAAAACTTCACATTCTTATCACTTGACTATTAAACTTAACATTATTATCTCTTGTAGAGAAACTTAACTTAAATTTAATAAGCCATTTTGTTTTAATATCAACAAAGACCCGTAAGAAATTTGTCTAATCACGGCTTTTTAATATGCACGTCGGCCTTATGTTCATACAAATAACAAATATTAATTGTAAATATTAACAGTATTTTAACTTCGCATTTAATTACACGTGTCAAGGTTGAATCTGCAAACGAAAATAGTTTTGTTTCCAAAAGATACCGAAATATTTAATTTGCTTCTTTTTTATATTCAACTTGTTTTCAGTAGAAATATACTGAAGATTTTTAATTACGTTTCTAGTTGTGGTTTTTGAAATATAAAGTACAAATGTTTCCTCGATTACAAATTCGATACTTAAAACTGCACCGATTTTACTCTTCGTTTGATATTTTTAGTAAATAAACTTTTGATCTTATTTGCTTAGGCTTCAAGATTATATTTTAATCAATAATTTAAATGTTATCTATTCAAACATATTTTTACTTACTAAAACATTGTTTTTTTTTTTAATTGTTTCGCAGACGATAATGTTTTCACTTAGTTCTTCTAACGAAAGTAAAGAGTAAATATTTCGTGACAAACTTTCCAGAAAAATAAACTTCCGGTTAAAACTCATGTTTAAAAAAAGTATTCTAGTTCAAGGTTAAACAATTAACTAATACACTTGAAGGGCTATTTTCTTCTGAGCTAGTGAGAAGCCGCAGAAATTGAAAGACATCGAACAAACTTCCTGTTTGAGCGAAAAAGTGATTTGAAATCTATGAACGTAAATTCTAACAGCTACGCAAATTCCATATTCGATAGCATTTGCAAGAGGTTTTTCCTCATTGGAAGCAAAGGTTTTTCATATATATATATATATATATATATATTTTTTTTTTTTTTTTTTTTTTTTTTTTTTTTTTTTTTTTTTTTTTTTTTTTTTTTTTTTTTTTTTTTTTTTTTTTT